AATCAATTTGTCGACGAAAAATGCGATTCCAAAAATTCTTGCAATCACACGTACCCATGCACTATTTCATGCTGGTTCTGAATATCCTATTAATTTTCACTAAAATTGAATTTTTTGCGATTGGAATCTTGAAAATACTGATTAAATAGATACAAAACTCCCGGTAGAAGAGTGTTATGGAATTTTTTAAGTAGTGAGTTTTTCTTTGACTTTCGAAAATATATGATTGTGTTGCTTTTCAAAAGGGCTGTCAAATGTGCAATACCACAGTTTTGACTGTTTCAATTGTTTAAAATAAAATACTTATTGAAACATAAGAGTTGTTGAGGAATAAAATAAATATGCTGAGTGATTACTACAGTAGTACATAGGATCACTATCTAATTAAATTAAACAATCAATTGTTGTTTTATATGTGAAATTGAAGCATCACGAAAGAACTATTGAATTCCTCGTGATTGTGTCAGACTATCAGAATAATGGTAGAAACCTCATGAAGCTAGTAACAGAATTTTGTTCTCAACATACTCTTTCTAGTGGTATATGATTCAATGGAGTTGGGCAAGAAAATACTAATAGACTGATTTGACTTCTTATGCATCCTCTCCTTTAAATACTGGTTTCATCAAAGAGAATTCACTTGCAGTTTCGTACTAATTTATCTTTTCTAATGAAATGTAGAAATATTTTATCCACACGAGTAGAAATGACATTCTGGATTGCGTGACACCATAGTTCATCTTCATGAGTTAACCATTGAAAATTCTGTTTTATAACATAAATATTTACTTTCATTAAGAACTTTAATCATTCACAACTTATTCAACAAAATTATTTATTCTTCTAAGAACAAAAAAATAAAGTACATTTTTTCTATTATTTCGTCACTTTTTACATCGAGTCTCAAATCTACATCACATGTGTATGTCTTGTTTTTCTATATATCATTAAAACTTTCATTCGTAAACAACGAGATATTATTGTGCAGTTTATAATCTTTTCTCTTAAACTCGTCCATGATTGCTGATAATACTTTCTACTGATATTGATTGTTGATATTTTTTTTGTATGCATATGAACTATAAATATTGTTTTATCAATGGTAATTAAGTCGACTTGCTTCATCAAATTATAGCATAGATAGAATTTCTGTTGTCACTAAAGTGCCTTTCGAACTATCCTTTAGTTGAAATCGTGTCTATACACTTCTCGCAGAAATTGTCAAAAGTTAATTTTTAAGATCATTTTTATTTTCGGTTAATATTAATTGTTTCTTTTTGTTGTTGTTGTGATAGAACAACCAAGACAAAGACGAAAAACTATATTTTACGATGACGATGATGAACGACCGTCAACATCGCGTCGATCACGACGAAAACGGTATTGTTATTTACTTAGTATATATGAAAAGTAGTGGCAGTAATATTTTAATACATTATGGAAGACTTGAAGACATTTTTTCTATATAAATGCTGAAAGTTCAAATAGAGATTTGTAATTCTTTTATATTTCAGCTCTGACTTAGATCGATAAGGAAAATTTGCTCGTACATTAAAATCGATAGTGCATTATATTGTGTTATCGGCGGGCCAACCTACGCTTTTCAAAACAGTTGAAAGATGATATGAATTACTTCATGAAGGTTAAGAAGATGCTGTAGACAAGGCACGATCTGTAACCGAATAACATCTGAAACGATTGAATAGATTGTTTTCTTGTTAATGGTGATTCTTCGATTAGAATTTATGAATTCACAGCACAAAGTGGTTGGAGCTATTTCGGTATCTAAAAACTAATCTGTAATTATCGTTAACTTGAAAAGATTATCGCTCGTTTTACATCAAAACAGTTGACCTTGAGGGCAAACATAAAAGAAAAATGATCTGAATTACAGGTATTGTAGGTCTTTATTCATCTCCTCGTCTTTTATGAAACCATGCATACCATCTATCAATTACTTTGATAGTTGGAGCTTAGCCGTCGGAAACAAAGTACAATTCATCATAAATAACTCTTGAATATATTGTGCATACGAACTTTAATGCAAAAGCAAAAGTTTTTTTTATTCGCCTAAATCAAAAGCTAACAGTTATGGTCGAAACTCCAAAATACTATCATCAACTGAAAAATGATGAGATGTTATTCAACAAAGGTCATTTAAATTTTCCTCTCCGGTCATAAGCGTTAGAAAGAATTCGAACAAAATGCTCAAAGAATGATACTCCTGAAAATAAAAAGACTAGCTTTGTGGTACCTAGTTCGGATGGATATAATTGTTTTAAAAAGTACATCAAACAATAGAGGAAAGAATTGTCTACAAAATGAGACGTTTTCAAGTTATCTGCAATGTTTCTTACCGGACATGCAGCAATTTTACGGAAGCTCCGAAAGACGGATTTCCAATTTCCTATAGAAAAAACTTTTGCTTTATTGTTTTATGTAGTCTAAATAAAATTATATTTATGCGCTCGAGGTGCTAAAAAAAACCAGGTTTCGATTTTCTGGAATCTTTAAGTTTACGAATCTGATAATAATCTTGATTTTCCGTACGACAGCGGAAAAAATTTCAAAAATAAACTTTGTTAAATAATTTTGATACTCATTGTCTACAAGCAGAAACAATTTCCTCGAGTTTTCCATAATATAGTAAAGTATTACTGCGACTACGTGTAGTATGTCTAGAGTATTATATGATTTAAAAAATAATTTTGTATGCTTAGACGACGTGTTTCTGCTCATGTTTCAACTTCATCTACATCAGATTCATCATCAGATAGTGAAACGATGGGACCTTTAACTAATGGTGATCTTAATTCTCGACCTGAACGAACTGCACGTTTGGCTAAAAGTACTGCACTAAAACGAATGAGGTTAAATTTCCTTATTGTCTTTTTGTTTCTAATGAATAAGTTTTATGGTTTAGATGTTTACCAACAAATTTAGATTTACTTGGTGTTTATACAAGTTCAAAAAAACCAAGTACAAGAACATCATCAAATGGTGCCGGTAGTGGCATTGGTGCATTAAATCTTGATTTAAATAGTAAAAGTCGACGTGCGAATAATAATGCTGCATCATTAGCTGATGCTGAATCTATTGAAATTGATCGAACAGTTTGTATTTAATTTACATAGTTATTATTTTATTATATATCTTTATTTTAGATTACTTTTGATGACATTGGTGGTCTTGATCCAATAATTTGTTCATTAAAGGAAATGATCGTTCTTCCATTAGTTTATCCAGAATTATTTCATCATTATAAAATAAAACCACCACGTATAACGAATAGAAAAAGAACAACGAATTCATTTTTATTTATAAAAAAATTTTCTTTTTTTCTCTAGGTGGTGTCCTTTTTTATGGTCCGCCAGGTACTGGTAAAACATTAGTTGCTCGTGCACTTGTTAATGAATGTTCATCACCTGATCGTCGTATAGCATTTTTTATGCGTAAAGGTGCTGATTGTTTATGTAAATATGTTGGTGAAAGTGAGCGACAATTACGTGTTTTATTTGAACAAGCGTATCAACAACGACCATCAATAATTTTTTTTGATGAAATTGATGGTTTAGCACCAGTACGTTCAGCACGACAAGATCAAATACATGCATCAATTGTATCAACATTACTTGCACTTATGGATGGTCTTGATAATCGTGGTGAAGTTGTTGTTATTGGAGCAACAAATCGTTTAGATGCTATTGATCCAGCATTAAGACGACCAGGAAGATTTGATAGAGAATTTCGTTTTTCTTTACCAACACTTGAAGTAATTAAACTTTTGACAAAAAAAAAACGAATCAATTGAAAAGCATGAACTTTTTTATTTAGGCAAGAAAACAAATTTTAAGAATTCATATGAAAGAATGGGAATCAAAACCACATGCTGGTTTTATTGATGAAATGGCTATTCGAACTGCAAGTAAGATATAATCGAAAAAAGCTTTTAGTGCTATCCACTACAGAATTATAATGTCAAACATGATGGAGGAAATTAGTCAATATATTTTTCGGTTCATAAGTTCCTATTTGCCGTTAAAGCATGTCGATGATGACAGATATTTATCACAACATATTGCAGTGAGTGTGAAAGAAAAATTAAAGGACAACTATCATACTAATTCCGTAGTGCTACTAGCGAGAGAACATCATTCTCATAGAGATGCGCTAGTTCCTAGAGCATGATGTCAAAAATCCGAAGCGATAGTCGAAACCTTTGGTTTTGGTTTTTTAGAATTTCTGTTAGAACTTTGGATAAAGCAAAAAAATGATCACAGTCGATATAAACGATTCACAGGAACTATATTTTATGATATTAGTGCTAGGAATTTCGTTGAAAAGTTCTGAACTTTTTATGGAAGCTAGTCTATTTGAGTTCCCTATATGCGCAAAATTTCGGATCAAACTCGATAGCATGCTCAAATGTTAATAGGAACCGAAATCCTTTTAAGAATGTTTTTCGAACACTTGGTAGTATCTATAAGCAAAAACATCAGTGAAATTGAATGGAGAACATCTAATAAAGTTCACTAACAAGGCGTCTGCGGGGTAGAGTCTGTCGGATCGAAACTTTTCGAACCTGAACTTGATTAACAGAAACTTTTCAGACCTGGGCTCGGGTCCAAAACCAAACCGTTGGGCTCTATTGCAGAGGATTCAAATTTCTACCCGTAGACTTTCATATTCGTTTTCGACTGTGTTTCACAAAAAAATTTATTCATTCTTAAGAAAAATAATTTTTTTTCTTTCATAGGTTTTTGTGGTGCTGATTTAAAAAGTTTATGTCAAGAAGCATTTTTATCAGCTTTACGTCGACGTTATCCACAAATATATGATTCACGACAAAAATATAAAATTGATCCACGTTCATTATATTTATCACGTGGTGATTTTTATACAGCATTACATCGTATTGTACCAGCATGCCATCGTTCATGTCAGCATCCTGTTGGTCGTCCATTAGATATACATTTAATACCATTATTAAGTGAACAACTTGATAAATGTTTAAATCAATTAAATGAATTATTTTTTAAACGTACAATTCTAAATAAAAATTCTAAATTAATACCATTTGAAAGTATAAGTGATGACTTAACATCAACAACAACATTAATACAAAAAGCTTCAACATTTGGTTTAACAACATCATTTGCATCAAGTTCACATAGAAGTGCAACATTTACAATGAAAAGTACACCTGATAATGGTTTATGTCGATTTTTTGCACCTGCTGTTGTACAACAACTTGATTGCGCTTTTTTTGTATTTGAGCTTGGCTATCTTCATGGTCAAACATCACGTACACCAGAAGAAGCTTGTGCACAGTTATTTACTGAAGCACGTCGAAGTGCTCCAGCTATTATTTATATACCAGATATCGACAATCTTTGGCCAAAATTATCTGAATCTGTACAATATATGTTTGTATCTAATGTTCGAACATTACCACCAAATTTGCCAGTACTTATTTTAATTGCACTTGAAACAGATTCATTTGATGATATTCATTCAGATGTAAGTCTTTATGTTTTTAATTTTTTTAAGTTCTTTTTTTGACGCAGTGTTTTTTTTTCGAACTTCTGTTTTATTTCTTAATACAGTTAATTTAAATCACGACCAATGTTATATTGAGATTGAATCCTGTGTCTGAAACAATTGTCACAGATGCAGAAACATCTCGAATGAAAAAATTCTCTGAGACTAGTAACTTGTGAAGTGTATTTTTTAAAACAGAGCGGTAGTGATCTGACTTATCGGTGGGTCATACTATAGTTTACAGTGGAGAGGCGGGCATAAAAACTAGGATCAAAATATTGAAAACCGTATAACTTCTAGCGAATCATTTATTTGAGGTTCGTTAGTATTGTGACCACAACACTGTCAAGTATTTGTCCAATATGACTTTTTTTAATAAAGCGATCAATGTAGATAGATTCACAAAGTCTGATAGACGAAAACTTCATTCTTATTGTTTAGTCAAGTGAAAATTCTTTTTTTGACTAAAATGATCGACATACATATCTCGACAAAGTCTGAGAGGCGCAAACATCGTCTAAAAACCGTTGGCTATCCATGAAAAAGCACTCAATTATACTCCTAAAAATTTTAAAATTTTCCATGATTCTATCGCATATTATCATATTATGAATCTTCAGTTATACTCCGAAATCCGGTGTTCCATGGACTGTCATTTGATGTAAAACTTGTTTTTACTTCTCTTTGTATTTGAGCTATACCTCTTGGCAAAACATTTTCATCAACTCTAGAGAGAACCAAATTTGCCTTCAATGTGTTAAATTCTTGTAACTTTACTCCTTGCTTCAGAAAGTAAACTGAAGGATTCATCAGGACTACATTGAGAATAATGATTTTTGTGAGATTTTTTGAATTTATAAGGAAGCTACTACAACTAGCACTTGCCTTTGAACTCATAATAGACTCAGACAGGTCTCAGTGAAACTAGTAAAAGCCTAAAACGGTTCGTCCTCATTGCCATTTAATGCCGATTCATGACTGATTTAATGGATTTTCAACCCATTTTTGGGTACTTTCTGGAACATCAAATAACAAAGTTTTGATTGAAAATTTTGTCTATACATAGATCTAAAGACTCTTAGAATACCCTGAAAGTTTTAGCCGAAAATAATATTCTTTCGTCGAATTATTGAATTTTTAATTGAATTCGATTTTTATGACAAAAAGCTTTTTTTGAAAATTCAATATCTTGACGAAGGATTATTTTTTCCAGCTGAAACTTTTAGAATATTCTTTGAGTCATTAGACCTATCTATAAGAAAAATTTTCGATCTAAAATCCACTAAATCGATCATAGCTTGGTGCCAGAGACCATTTAGGACGAATCATTACAGGCCTTTTCTATTCTTATAGACACCTGCCTGTACATCCGATAAGAGGCTAAACGACAAGTGTCACTTAAAATAGTTCCATCGTTAGTACATCTTGTAAATCTTAATGACATATGTCTACTGTAAAACGAATTCGTATCCATTAAGTCATTATATTGTGTAGAGACTCAATCGAAAAGTTCTGCATTTTTTTCTGCGCAAGCTAGTATAAAATGAGATCTTCTAGTGGGGAAAGCGCCAAGTCGAAATTTTTAAATATGGAATCCTACAGACAAATATACTCAAATCTTTGATTTCGTCAGGAAGCAGCGATGTCTTTTTGTTGATAGACATAGTTGACGATAGTCTATAAAATGCACTAAATCCGAACCCAAAAGTGAACAGTGACTTGGAAATGCTCCTTCATGAATGACATTTTTTTTTCGTTCTTCTTTAGATAAGTCAGATTATTTCTCCAAAATCAACCTTTACACTAGAAGTACCAGATTCTCAAGATCGTTATGCTTTTTTTGCTCCATTATTCAATGAAGAGATGTTTTCAGCTTTAACTTCAACAGAACCCATCACAGGTAAATGAAATATACAAAAAAAAATAAACAAATATTGTTTGGTGATCTTATAATATTTTCATTGATTTCAACAGAACCAGTTCGAGAAATATTGGAACTTGCTGAACCAGTACCAATGTCTCTTGAGCGTAGTCAATTAGAATTAGAACGTTTACAACAACGTGAAGAAGCAACAATGACTGAACTTCGAGTATTTCTTCGTGATATGTTAAAAGTCTTATTACGTGATAAACGTTTTACGTATTTTACACGTCCAATTGATGTTGAAGATGTACCTGATTATTATGATGTTATTGAGAATCCAATGACATTTTCAATGATGCTTGAAAAAGTTGATAAACATGGTTATTCATCTGTTAAACAGTTTATACAAGATATTGATTTAATTGTTTCAAATGCTTTACTTTATAATCCAGATCATACAACACAAGGTAAAGAATTTTGTCATATAAAAATAAATAAAAATTTCTTTTTCTTATTCATTCAATATTAGGACAATTAATTCGTCATAGAGCTTGTGAATTACGTGACGTTTGTCAATTTCATATTAATGCCGAACTTGATATGGAATTTGAACTATTATGTCAACAAGTTTCTGAAGCACGAAAACAACGAGGTTTGATATAAAAAAAAAGAAGATTCTTTTTACCCAGTTTTTTGTTTCATATAGGTGATGATCCAAGCGCATCATTACCGAATTATGTGTATACTGAACAAACACCAGCAAATGATAATATCCATCAAGAGAATGAAAATGCTTCACAAAATGATGCAGAACATCCCATGGATGTATCAATTAAAAATTTACATAATATAAATGATCAATCCGATGTCCAATTAGATACATCATCAATATCAACAAGAAATTCAACTAAAAGACATAAAAGTAATGTTAGTCAACGTTCAACAATGACAAGAAAACAAGCAAAAGAAAAAGAATTAGTCAATGGACATAATGAAGTAAGAATATATATTAACAGAATGACTACAACAAAGTTATAGACAATCAAACATAAAGGGTGATGCAAAAGTTGCTAAACAAAATTTATGTTCATTGTTGACCCATTAGAAAAGTATTCTAGACGAATGAAATACAACGTGTCAGGACTAGAGACGTGCGAAATCAAAATTTGGAAGTTTACAGGAATCACTAGGAAAAAAAATCTACCGGAACCGAAAAACTTGGTTCCGTACATCTCTAATCAAGACTAAAATTATTTACCCTTAATGAATGTACACTCAGCAAGTTTTCTGTGTGTGCTTGGGATATTTTTAAAAGGCTTGAAAAATTAGTTTGGATTGAAAATTTTTCCAAACATTTTCAATATTAAGATTGGAAGCTAAATGTGGGTAAAAGCAACAGTTTAGTTCGTCATCACATTTTGTAAAAAAGCTGTTCATTGTACAAAAACTCCAAGTTCAATAGTTTTTAGCGCCTTCGCAGAATGAACCCACGAGATTAGCAAAACACTATTTGCTCGCTATGCTAGTCAATTTTTCCGGACCTCGAAAATTTTCTTCACTAGTCTCGAACGAAAATAGGCATAATAAGCCTGAGTTCATCTTTGGAAAGAGCATCAAATTCTGGTTCTAACTCATTGTGTTTCATCCGTATAGGAATGGAACAAGTCTAGAATAAATGTGGGTTTTGAACTAAAGACATTGAAATTTGATTTGGATTCAATCTCAAATAATCTAAACCTCAAAGGTTTGGTAAGATAAGATGTTACCAACAATGATATACTTTGCTAGAGATGCGCCATTGCTAGAAAATCATCTTAAGATTTGAGATCGAGTCCAAACCCGAATCAAATCCAACCTAGTTTTAAATCCTAAAGTTTTGGATTTGTTGTATTCCACCATTTGCCTAGAATACTTCCAAGAGAGTCAAAAACGAATAAACTTCTAGTTCCAAAACTGCTGCACCACATGTTAGTAGAAGAATTTTCAAATGTTGATTAAAGTAAAACATGAGAAGTAAAAAAATAAGTTAAAAAAAGAATAGTGCTTACGAAGTCTACTAGCTGATAATAAATGAAAACCTTTGAAAAAAGTGTGTATCATAAAACAGCAAAAGGATCTATATTATGCTTATCAGTATTAATCGTATTTCGAAAGACTTTTATTACAAAAAAAAAGAGAAAGAAAAATACACAATTACTTTAGCTTGTATCTTGATAAAAAGAACTACATTCATTACGAGTTTTAATCGTTCGATGAATAAATTTAAGACAAAATAATATAAAAAATAAACAACTTTATGAAGTTTAAAGATGAATATTTTTATCGATGTTTATCCTTCTCTTATCACTGCAAAACAATCACTACTCACTCAATAATATGATGGATATTGAAATTTCGAAATTATTGTTTCTATGAGCTACTATATTATAGTAAATTTTACTTCAACAAGATTAATTTGAATATTGATTCAAGAAGGATTTCAAAATGGCTAAGTCTTTTCAATTTTACACTATCTTAACAAAAATTTTGCACAAATTCCCAAAGACCATTTATTATAGTTGAGAAGATCTCTTTTTTTTTTCTCGAAGGAACAGTCTCGATTATCAAATCGGTTTTTATTTGAAACTTGTCATTTGATCGGTCATGGCAAGCAGTAAAAAAATCTGATTTCGTTTTATTTTCTGATCTTTGCATGTCGAGTAAGATGCGTTTTACTGGATCTGTGATTTCTCACCGTAAAATTACTGAAGAAATTGGATGATCGAATTTTGAATGGAAACTTTGCTCTATAGATAGGCCGTATAGTCACTATCCACTTCAAAATTTGAGCTAGAACAAACATATTCTTATCAAAATCTTGAAAAGAAGACACTCATTCTAACTTAACCTTTGAGGAGTTTCTAATGACTATAAGGTCTGTTAATGGATTTAAATTTCAGTTCCAAACTTGATCATCCAAGTTCTCAACAATTCTATGGTCATAGGGTAATAATTGAATAAAACATCGCTAACTCACAAGTCACGATCAGAATATAGACTGTTTCATTACTTATCATGATCGATTGAACAGCAACAATTCCAAGTGAAAAGTGGCTAAACAATTGAGAATATTCTCTCGTCAACTACTTTCTGCTAGACAATATCCGAATGTTTGTCCAATTTTCGTCCTCCGCACTTCTAAAAATTATCAACAATCATAATCGTCACTAAGCGATAGAAACATACATTCAGCTCGATTTCGTTTTGTGCATCCTGTTTTGCACGTAATGACCTTTTCACATAGGTTTGTTGACGTTTCAATTCTTCAGTATTTCTCCTTTTTCAGCATCGGTTTTTTTTTGTTTTTGAAATCTTATCCTAAATCGACACTTAAAAAAGGCATCTGATTACATTTTAAATAGTTTATGAAACAATCTAATTCGTCTATTTTAGGAAACTGTTCTTTCAGCTGAAGATGCTGCATCAACAACAGTTACAACTGAAGTATCAACAAAACCACCAACACCAACAAATAATACAACTGAATCAATTGCTACAACAACAAATCAATCATCATCTTCATCCTCACCATCATTAGAACTATCAAATAAAAAACGAACTAAACGAACAGTATCTTCAACTTCATTATCACCATGTAAATTAACATCTGTTGATGATACATCAACAGAAATAAAAGCAAAACGACAACGGGTTGAAGAAACTATTAAAGTATAATTTCTTTTTTCTAAATTATGCTTATTTAATTATTTATTTATTGTTAAAATAGACTATTGAATCAACATCAATAAATATTGAACAAAATGAAATTCCATTGAAAACAATTGATACAGAACGTCTTGTAGCAAATTTAACTTATCTTGTTGAACATACAAATAATTTTGGTGTAGAAAAATTAAGTATAATTTGGTTTGAATTATTCGATATAATCGAATCATGTCGATCACTTACATCAGATGAATTAATCTTTGAAGTATTTATTATATTTTTGTTTGATTTATTTATTTTCTAAAATTTATTTCGTTTTAGACACTTGAAAAAAATCTTCGTTCAATTGTTTAATTTGTTAATTTTCATTCATTATTTATCTAGTCTTACCATTTCGCATTCTTGGAAAATCTAATGAACATGAATAACTCAGGAAGAGCGACGTACGGTCTTCTTCTGTATTTCTCAGGGAATAACGGAGGAAAGAATATAAAGCTCATTTAGTTTTTTTGTTTTTTTTTTCCTTTATGACTATTTTTCTTAGTTATCATAAAAATCTTTGCGTATTTAATCGATATTTTGGTAATAACAAAAAAGAGAAATTCGAAACGAATTCATGTAGAATATGTAGCACTCAGATTAGATGCTATTTTGTCCTCTTCTTTTTCTTTTTCTTTCTCTTTCTGTGCTCATTATTATACTTGTCTTGTGTATCATGTATTTTCATGTGTTCATTTTTTTTTTCTTTGTAAAAAATAGATTTTCTGTTTCTTTTTTCTCTTTTGTCTTTATCTCTTGTATGGAAATAAAACAACAACATCAAGTATTAAAAGATTATTAAATTGATAAAAAATGAGAGAACAAATTTATTGAGTATGTTCGATTTTGTTCTTTTTTTGTAGATAACAATGATAATTTCAAATAGTAAAATTGTTCAAGTGTGTAATGTATCAACATCATGTCAAAAAGATCAATTAAAATCTTTATTCAGTTGTATTGGAATGATTAAAGAAATTCAATTATATCCGGATAGGTAATATGAAGTGTTTCAATGTTCAATTCATTTTTTGTTGTTAGAAATCTTGTCTGAAATTGAATGCGAGAAAACTTTCTATTCGATAAGAATTCAACATAAGATCTGTGACAGTTTACAGTTCTTGTTTGAAAACTTGATTCAGTTACCACGTCTTTTCATATGAACTATGTATGTCTACTGATGATGGTCATGTAGCCATTCTATTAATTAACTGTCACATATCTAGAGCTAAACTGTATGATGGATGTCGGTTCGGTTCCTTTATCACTTTAAGCAGATGCGCGTAGATACACGATAAAATATCCGTAGACTTCAATATGTAAATTATGTTGTTTTGTGCTTTCGGAAAATGATTTATTCATATGTGGTGTGGCTACCCATCCACTCAAACCCGATAATAGAATTTCAAAATCTGACACTAATCTGATTGATTATGAACTAGGTTAGTACAAAAAAATTAAACAACAACGTATTTTTGGTTCTTTTTCTATAATGTTAAGCAATTAGCTTAAATCCAGATAGTGATGTTAATAGCTAATGAAGTTTTCTATCTGATGCATTCTATACTAGATGAACTGTAATAACAACATTTTTCAAAAAACCGGACAGAGTAGTTTTCAGATTTCAGAAGACTTTGTCGAAGTCATTTTAAAGAGTTCAAAATTCTGAACAAAATGATGATTCGCCGCATTTTTGATCACCTGCCGTTAAGAATTTGAAAGCATGAAGAAAAATCGTAAAAAAACGAAATTGATAAAGCAATCAAGTGAAAAATCGTCTTTGCCCAGCTTTTGTGATACTAAGCAGAAAGTCGTAGAAAATACGATAACCTCTCATATTTTTCACAATTTTCCGCTCTTCAAAGTGACATTATTAAAAAAAAATAATATTCTGGGACCTGAAAACTACCGTGTCCGGTTTTCTAGGAACCTTGCCATCATAGTTCATCTAGTATAAAATGCACTAGCTATTTAAATCACTCACTGGATTTAAATTAATTGCTTAAAGTTACACAAAAAAAAAACGTTATTGTTAAACTTTCCCCACCATCTGATATCAATAGCCTACCGCTTCCAAGAATGTCTGACTTTGATAATTAAATAAAGAATGATCCTATAAATCGTTTGGTTTGATAAAAGATTGAAAGAAAACAGAAAATATCTAAACTCAAACTCATTGAGTTGGCGCTTTTTAATTCATTCGAGCACGTAGTCTAACAACGTTGCCGAAAACTCTTGGTTGATATTCTCCAGTATTGTTTCTCTGCTTCAATTTTCTATTAACAGGAAAACCCTGTGTTTCGCGGTTCAGTAGATACAAGTATTTTTCTTCATTCAGATAAAAAACGACCCAAACGGTTTGGGTGTATGGTTAGTATGACTTTTTTCTGAAGCTAATAGTTTCGATAAATCTAAATAAGCGTGATTCTTCGATACTTTCAGAGAAGGAGAAAGGTTTTCATATAATTTTAGGAAAAAATTATCTTTTTTCTCAACCAGAATGAAGTATTTCTCCAAAGATTTTGATCTATATATATTTATATAAGGCTTAGGCCAATCCACTAACTGTTAATCATTTGAGAATTGGTATAATTCTTCTAGCAAGAATGAATTTTTCAAACAAAATTCAAGTGTAACTTTAAATTAATATAAGAGTCACGGTTATTTTTTGATAATCTATAACGTACTGAAAATATTTCTAAAGTTATAAAAAACAATTTAAATCTAATCCCGGCATATGAAAAAAAACACATGTCATCACTTTGTTTTTTAGTTCATCAAACAAAATTTCTGATCCGGCATTGAAATATGTTCAATATAATTTATTCATCAGGGTAAAATTGCATAAGCTTATTTCAACATATGTCAAGTCTATCTATTTGTTTTGAAAATCGCATCATTTAACGTCATTTATAAATCTATTTTATAAACTAAAAAAATTTCTTTATTTTAGTGATACTTTAACATCAACCATCAATGGTAAAGTTGGTTATATAAAATTCGATCGTATTGATAGTGTTCATGGTGCATTGAACATGAATAATACAATATTTATTGATAAACCATTAATTGTTTCTCAAGTATTTGAAAATAATATGCCAGATGAAACTGATGCGATAATCTATTGTGCACCATTAAATCCAAATATAACATTACTTAGTGGTGGTCCAACATGGCCAAGTACAGTTATTAATCGACTTGTTGGTCAACCACCAAATACATTTATTGAAACAATTGATCCTGAATTAACGGGTAGAAATTTACCACCATATCCACTGTTATCAGGAACACTTGATATTTCGAAAGTTGAAGAAATTCGACGTACTGTTTATTTATCTAATTTAGACAAAGATGTATGTAAAATTGTGCACACAAATATATATATATATGTCATCGTCCAATCTTACATTGGCGTAGGCGAACCTGCCATTGACCTATGCTAATCTGAGATTTGCTTAAAATGTCCAGACTAATCTTAAAGAGTGTCCTAGAAATAATGGCTCTGTCTGTATTTTAATGATATATCTCTTGATATTCATTTGTTCAGACTTGATTTTTTTTCAAAAGATATATCTCTTTATGTTCTACAAAATGATAAGTTTCTTATTTATGCAAATAACATTAATCTTCCTTTAAGAGACGCTTTAAATGAAAAGTCCACGACGACCTATTTTATACAACAACATCTTTCGAATTTTTTTGACTGCACATTTAAATTCTTCAACAATTTTCTCTTTCAATGTTACTATCTTTGAGTTGATAGCTTATCTAAATTCATTTCAAATAAGATAGCTAAATGGGATTAAATCTGGACTATTCAGTAGTCAATGATTTTTATCCATCAAGGATACAAAATTGTTTTGACACTATTTTGTGTTAGATGATAGACGTGTGATTTCACACCATCTTGTAATGTTCAATGTTCTTCAAAAGTCTTATTTCAATATTTTGATGTTATTGAATTCGTTTCTCTTTATATTCGTCGGCGAGTCTTGATTCAATTATCTTATAGGCATGGAGTTTCAGATCTTCCATCAACATTCACTGTATACTTGATTTACACATGTCGTATTCTTTAGCCAAACTTAGAACAAATACCACCTTTTTTTAGTCGAGTTAGTGCTTTACTTTTTGAATCATTTGTACGAGAAAGATGTAATCTACTCGTCGGTGTCGACAGCTGGATAGCATTAGTATCACAGATAATCTTACTTCATCTTTTGATGTTATTGAGTTCGTAGGAACCTTTTAAATTACGAAAGATCTTGGTAAGATCATCACCATTTTCGTACTGACAAAGGCCTACTTTTCCGAGCTTTTTACTTGTCATCTTAAAACAAAGATAAAATAGGTTTGAATAGAAAACAACATATAGGCTCTTATAGAGGTTAATAGGACAAATATTTAAAAAAAATTAAATATGAACAAATGAGAATTAATACAGATTTCAGTAACATGCTGAGAGGCCTATTATTTCTGAAACACCCGTCATATTTGCATTGTTTTTTTTTAATGTTTTTTATTTGAATTAGATTAGTTTGGATGTACTACATGAATTTCTATCACAAATTGGTGAAATTCGATATATTCGTTCAGCTTATATTGATGAGAACACTGAAACACGTGGTGCTTATGTCGAATTTAATGAACAACCATCGATTCCTAAAGTACTTTCAATCAATGGTTTTCAATTTTTTAATCGACCATTATTGTATGTAAAGTTGTATATTAAAAATATTATTTATTTTTATTTTTGAATAGGGTCAATCATGCAACTTCATGCGTTATCAAACCAACTATTGTACGAGAATTAAAAAGCAGTAAGGCAAAGAAAAAGTCATTTTCTTGTAAGAAAATTATATTTTGTTTTCCGAACTATTTAGATGAAAAAGATACGAAATTTAGTCCATCACGTTCTCAAAGGTATGCTTTAGGTTTTAAATCTTTAATAAGTAATAAAAATTCTTTTTAGTACATCACATCATCAAAATACCGAAACAAATGATGATAGCGATGATAATAATGATCATTATTCATCATCAAAATCAAAATCTCATAAGAAATCTTCTAAATCAAGGCGATCATCTAAATCCCGGCCAAGGTTTGTTTTGATAATTAATAAAATAAAGCATAAAATATTTTTTTTGCTTTCTATTAGATCAAGAAAACGTACTCGATCACGATCATCACGTGATCGAAAACATCGTTCACGATCATCACGTGACCGAAAACATCGTTCACGTTCAAAAGACCGTCATCATCGAAGTGAAAGTAGAAAAGATAAAAAATCCGGAAAATAAATATATATATAACGATTTTTTTTTAATATATATTTGTGTATGAGCTTTTCAAGAAAAAAAACAACATAAACTAGAAACAAATTGTTTTTTGTTTTATTTGGTTATCTCATAAATAATCCGAACAAAGAAAAAATAAATTATGCATATTTGAGAAATTATTTGTTGATGATGATAAAGTTTTCTGAAAACATGTGTTTAGCTACTTGTTTTGATAGTTTAATCATGAGAAATTCAATATTCTTTTTCTTGGACTATGTCTAAAATAGATTAGAATGCCGTTCGAACTTTGTCTTTTACATTCTTTCACAACAGACTAGCGGAATTTATATTGAAACTCTAGCACTATTTTTTTCAGATGTAATATATACTATTCTGATATTTACAACAAGTGAAGCAAAAGTTCTGCATTAATTTTATTTTTTATACAGCGTTTCAATTCAATATCGTAGAGACTTGATCATTTTTGTTTGGTTAGACAAATCAAAACATCTATGGTAAAAATATATAGAAGAATTTGATTGAAAATATTTTCTGAAGAACAAAAGAAATTTTAGAAGAAAAAGCATCAAGGAGCTAAAAAATTTGATAGAGTCAGAGGCAGTCTGTCTCGTTGAGAGTGACTACGAATATCTGCTGTCTAAAACTTGGCGCACAGTTTTCGGACAACAGCTGGAAATTTTACAGACATAGCGTAAGAAGTGGGGCAGCTAATTCACTCCAGCACCTCCTACATCGAGACCTGAGATAATTAAGATAGGACACAATTTCAATATGAGACATTCAAATAAAAATTTCTTTTCGCATTATCAATGTCGAATAGTTTCTAAAATTAAACAATTTCTTTTTCAGTATTTTTTACGCTAGATCAATTACATATGATGCTGAAAGAAAATCGAGTATCGATAATAAAAAAAGTCAAACAAATATATTTAGATACAAAAATTGTTATTGAAGGTATGGAAGAGTTTCCCACACTTGTTTTCTAAGATTTTTATTTTTGGTTTTCAGGATATGTTTCTGATCAAATTCTTCTATATATGTTCCTTTTTATAATCTGAATAGGATCAGTTCTCTATAATATTGCGTAGCAACGCTACATCAAAAGTAAAATTAATGTGTTCGCACATGTACTCGGGTTCTTTTTTCAAAGCATATTTTTTTCTGCCGTTAGACGATACTCTCAGCCAAGTTTTTCTTGACTTTTCTTTTCGCATCTGAAAAAATAAATTTAACATTTCTTGGTCACAAGTTACAAAACTTAGTAATGCATGAGATAATTTTCAGCAAACTTTCATGTTTTCATAAAGATTATGCTCATTGATTGTAAATTTTGTACAATATTACAATTTAAATTTCTAACCAGAATCTTTTCTATATGCATTAATAGTATTGAATATTTTTTGAAATTTTCTATTCTCTAATCTTATTTTAGATTAAAATAATTTTATTTGTCTTATAATAACAATGATGAATTTACTATTGAAATTTATAAATCCGATAAAACGAGATTCTTCAAAAAAAAAAAAAAGATAATCGCATGGATAAAAGAAGATCAATTAAACGTATGTATATCGTTGTGCTTTTCTACTGATTTATGCTCACAAATATTACATTATCATTGATTATTTGTAATTGATGTTATACAAAAATAGTTTTTTTTTTATTATTTATCTATTTATCCGTTGGGTTTTTTTAGATATGCAATGATCTTCTGTTCTCGTGCTATTCTATTGACAATACACCATAATTCGAAATGGTCTGTTATTAATATTTTTAAACAGCCATGGCGTTTTTTTGGTGGAATGGATACATCACCATCTAGTGTGATGAGAAATGCTCAAGTTCAAACTATATATACAGAAACACTCAATATACCAAATCAAGGTCGATTAGAAGTTCGATGTCCATTTAATCTTCATATAGCACCAATTCAGCCAACAGATTTCCCAAGACTTGATAGAGCTTTTTTTACTATTTATGGTATGAATAATTTGCCATAAGAGAAAAATATTTTAAATAAAAGTATGTTCTAGGTGACAGTGGTTTTAAATTTTCAAAAGAAACATGGCATAAATTATTTAAATTTTCCACTGAGTTTAGTTCTGATACTCGAACTCTTCGTGTTTTGGGTCATTTCACTGAATCAGGTGAAAAAGAATTGTGTGAACAAACTCACACATTGGAAGTTCATTGTCAAATTCCTCCACATTACGGTAAATAAACGATTTAAAAAACTAAAGAAAGAAAAGAAAATTCTTCTTTTATTCAATTAGAACTCGATATTAATTGTACAGATAATAATAATGTTTCTGCTGAACATCTTCAAAGTCCTCGTGTTCATGTAACGAAATTTGTTCATAAAATTCCAGAAAAATTATCAATCAAGTTTTTTTCTAGATTCAAACAAAACGCGGTGAATGTTCACTAAAAAATATAATTGTAATTTTTCAAATTGAAGTTATTTTCCATTTAAAATAGTACCTTCTTTGCATAGGCAGACAGTATTGTTGTACACAGTCAAACAGGAAATATCAAATGTTTAGGTTCATTACAAGGAACAATCGATTTAAGTACTGAAAGAGATGGTGTAATGAAAAACAAACCTATTAGGATAAAACATATAGCTTATTGTTTATTATTTAAATAGATAATACAAGCATCTAAATTAGAAGGTGGTTTTATTCGTTTAAAAGTTGAAAATTCTGATATTCATGTAAAAAGTATTTATTCGGAATATTTTTTTATTCAAGGACAGCATGGACATTTTAGTGTGAGAAATTTATATGGTCATGGAATAGGTAAATTAATAATTGATGATTTTAGTTTTTTTTTTCTAAGGCAATATAATATATTTAGTGGATTTAAATAGAGGTTCAATAAAAATAGGTGAGAAATTTTATTTTTCATTCGAAATTGAATTAATATGTATTGATTTTAGGATCCATTGAGGGTGATGTTAGTCTTCAATGTGAAAAAGGTGATGTAAAGGCTTTTTTTTCATCGACAAGTTTATCAACAATACGTGTTCAAGAAGGTTTAGTTAAACTTTTGATTTCTTTTTCTTGTTTTTGCTAAAAAAATTATTCTATACAGGTGATGTTCAATTGGGTATTATTGACACGGCGGGCATTCGATTAAATCTTGTTGGTAAACGTGTTCAAGTAGCAGAAGATGCCGAACATTTCCATATGGAAACAATAAGAAAAGCAGGAATTGTTCAAGTACAAGGTTTTATATCAGATGAATCAGCTACTGCATCGATTGATGTTAATGCACCAAAGGGTACTATTCAACTTCGTGTACAAGATTGGTTTTCCACACTAAAACTTGACCGACATCTTGATGAATAAATACTTCTTTTGTTTTTTCTTTTATTTGTTTTGAGTTATTATTCTGATTTAATGGTTTTTTTTTTAGATTGAATTATTAAGAAAAAGAAAAAGAAATTCTTAAAACATGTTGGGTGGACCAGGTGCAAATGATGCAGAGATGAACCAACGAATGGCTGATTTCCAAGTTAAATCAAGTTTTGTTCAATTTATTGTTGCAGTTGGGCTTATTAATTTAGGTAAGAAGATTGTCATAGAAATAAAATATTATGATTTATGTTTCTTCTTTTTTTTATAGCTCCATATGTTATCGAAGCAATCATGGGTGAAACTCCTCGTTGAACACATTGATAATGACTTTTGTTCTTGTGTTTTTGAAATGAAAACATAAATAAAGAAAAAAAGAAGAAAAAAGATATAGATGTTTTTTTTTCATTGATTTAGTTATTGTATGTTTTTTTTCTCTAAATTTAGATGTCTTTATCAAAAGTACCAGTTCATAAATGTTTAGAAAAACTTCAATGGCTTTTAGGTGTTTGGCGTTCTGAATCGGCCATAATTCAACTTGAAGGAAAATCTTTCTCGTACTTAAGTGAATTCAAATGTGAACACGTTGGTCAACCAAATTTTATTCTTCATACCAATGCATATAATGTTCAACCGTTACCAAACGATGAATTATTATCATGGACAAATGAATTAAAACCATTTCATCGTGAAATGGGTTTTTTACGTGTTAATCCAAAAGACGCAACAGCTACAAATATATCATATTTAAATGTACAAAATGTTGGTTTAGCCGATGTTGAAGAAGGAACTATTAGTGGAAAAAGTTTTCTTATTGAAACAAAATCTATTGGACGTTCATGTTTTAATAATGAGCCAAGTGTTCGATTACTTCGTCGAGAATATTCATTAGATAAAAATGATTCAAATCTAATTCATGTTAAAGTTTTCATGAGTACAAGCCGTATGAATGAAAGTGAACAACCATACGAACATTTAACAATTCAATATCGTAAAATATCAAATGAATAAATAACTATTATTCGAATAATTGACATTGAACTTATTTTGTCATTCATTTGAGTATGAGTATTATTTTTATTAGTAATTAATAACCGATCAAAAAGAACTAATTATACATGAAAGCTGAAGATAATCTATTCCCCGCATTCCAATCATTTTGTAGTTTTCGTTTCAGAAAATGATTAAGCATTATTTAAATAAATTCGAAAACTTCAAAAAAACTTTAAAAATTTCAATTAAGAATATTACTTGGCACTTAACATCATTAAATTTCACTAGTTTCTTTCTCCGAAAACTACGGCAAATATTAACTATGCAAAATTTGTTTCTAAATAAAATTCTTAGCAATGTAAACACTACATCTAGTTTCAGTATATGACCTTTATTTTAACTTATATTTAACCTTTTCTGATTTTAGTCACTCATCGTTCGTTTGTTTTATGAAACTTTAAAACAGTAGCGTATTTGTTGCTCATATTTGTCCAAGTGATTTCTATTTCTATTTATTACTTTTTTTTTGCATTTTGAAGACGTTCTTATTTCATCAAATAAACTCTGAATTAATCGTAAGAATATTTTTTATAATAGCGAAATTTTATTATGCGTGGTCAACTTTATTTTTACAAAAAAATATTATAGTAATAAATACATTTAATATGAAAAATATTCAGGTAAAGAAACATATTTTGTTCTTATAATTAAGCAGAACAAAAAAATGAGTCCGTTTGATTAATCATAAACATGAATATGACGACCATTTTTTTTTTTTTTTAATTAAAAATAACCGACGTCAATACGATAAATTTATAATGTGTTTGATCTAGAACTGTTTTTGTCTGTGCATAGACATAAAAATATTTTTTTTGCGTCGTAATTTAGCAATGCATTTTATTTATTACTCATCAAATCATCCCTGATTGCTCGGTTTTTTTGTCAAAATTCATTGATTGACGTCAGTATATATATATACGTTATTATGACATAGTTTTCTTATTATTTAAGTAGCTGTTGAAAACTGTCTCAGTGACTCTTCTCAGACGTTTCTAGCATTAAATACATGTATGAAAGAAAAGAAAAATATTTTGCAAGGTCATTGTGTATTACTGCACTTAATTTGAGTACATTCTAGAATAATTTTCCATATCTTTTCAATCTTTTCTTCATTGACTCGTACTACTTTGAATTCTATGATGTATCTTACTTATAATAGTCATTAAATAATAAGTAATTTCAAAAGTTCGTCTCTATAACCGATCAGAAATATTTTGTCTTGTTTTCAAAAACCAGGTTCATCATTATTCTCATGTTACCATATGATCTACTTGCCGTTAGTTTCAATAAAGTTTTATACACGTGCAAACAATTAATTATCGTTTGAACTATCGAAGTGAATAATTAACTAGATGGTATTCGAGCTTCGCTTCGAATACGAAATGCGGTGCGAAGCACACGCATCGAGAATTCAAGAAACGAATTTCGAATCGAAATCGAATAAACCGTCTAAATATTGTANCGTAGAACAAAGTAAGTATGATAAAAAAAGAACAAGACGATATTGTGATATAACGATAAGTATTTGCTTAAATAGGTTTGACAAATATATTACAAACAGTAAATACTCGAGAAATTAGCCGGTATCTTTTTTTCGTTTAGATGATACTAAAAACAAGACAGAAGAAAACACTACTAATAATCTTTGAGATCGAAAGTATATTCAAACTTGTCAATCTTGATCAAGATACTGATGTATCATTTGAATTTCTAGTATGTCATCTCCACAACGTATTTACACATGTTTGGACTCGTGTAGTAACAGCAACTTATCTTCGTCTAGAATTAACACTTTTAAATATGATGGATGAAATTATATGTCGTAAAAATTGAAATAAACATCGATTTGCTACATGTGCGAATAGTCACGATTGAGAGTCTTGATTTCGACTGAAACCAGATAAGAGAAAACGTTACCAAGAAAATCAAAATTACAAATAGAACTAATTTAAAAATAGTCATCACAATCAGATATATTGGAATAAAATGGTTCATAGGACAGATATTCTTGTGTAAAACTACCAGCGATTACTTGAGTTAATATTTAAAATAAGAACATTATCAATAAATGAAGCAATCATCCAGAAGCTTCGCAAGAGTAATACGAATTGGCAACGGAATCAGTTGACGTTCTCTAACCTATTCCTAATTATTGTTCTTGATCTTGGGAAGAACGGTCTGGATGGTTAAGTGTCTTCAGGTAACTGCACATCCTTGTTAAGAATCACATTAGTTTTGTTATTTAGAGCTATTTCAACGTTTCTGTTTCTTAAACATTTGATTTCTCTGTTGAAACCATTGCACTGTTGTTATACGATATATTTCAACATTCTTACTTTAATTCGTTTCATATTTCTTGTTCGCCGACATTTGTACATATATTTCAAAGTTCGTGAAAAACTAATCAGAGAGAAAACGATCAAAAATTTAAAAAAAAGAACAAAATGAGGAAAAATAGATGTGTCAAATTCTTTGTGCTGCTGAATAGTAAAGATCGCAAACCTTTTATCACCATATGTAGTAATAGACAATGTGAATTCGATTAAAATCTCAATTTTCATTTCTCCTTGATTCTATATTTCCTTCAATTTTTTTTATTACAATTACCCAAGTGTAATTCAAAACCAGTTGTATTTGTTAAGTACAACAATTCTTATGTTCTTATTTTCTCATTAAATTTACACTGTTATCTTTTCTCAGTTAAACCACACTTGAACCATAATTGTGTATTGCAGACAGAATCCATCAGGTTCCAAATTTTTGGATTCGGACCTGAACTCTATCGAACTGTACGCTGATACTTTCAATAAAATTTTTGAATGGACATGAAGCTGTCACCCTGATAGTACGAGATATTTTTTTCAGCTTTTTGTATTTAATGGCTAGCGCACCCTACACATTTCTCAGACTACTTGAGTTCGTCGGACACAGGATCAACGCATTAGATGCTAATTTTTGCTCTACTCTCGTCGAAATATATATCGTCCTAAAAATTTTGAAATTTTCTGATCAGCTATTTTTGAAAAGTGTCGAAAAGAGTATTCTCCGAAGACGTGTTTTTCTTATACAGCAGAAAATCATACTGATTGATTATCAAACTGTCACAGATGCAGATTGGTCTTTATTTCGTATTTGTTGTGGTTCTGTATCATTTCGTTAAATTTCAACTCATTAATTGTCCACTTTTTTATGTGTGTTGTAGAAGCTTTATCATTTGGATATATACGTTGTAAAGTAGAATCAACATATTATGATAATCGATTAAGAAAATCATGAATATGTTAGAATTCTTATGAATTGATTATCAAATAGGTACATCTACTGATTTTGATGACATTATCATAGTCTATGGATTGCTAATAGAAGGCGCAAGACGAAGAGGATTCTATTTGATTGGTATATTGTTCTATCCAATGATTAGTTGTAACTGAATCATCTGACATCTATTAATAGTCAAATAAAACAACATTTGTAGTTTATTCATTTAAGATTCAACAAATGCCACCTCCAGCAACAACAACATCGGCTAAGTCGACTGGTGATGAACAAAATTCAAATGAAAATGGTTCATCAACAGATAAAAATCTTTCATTAACAATATCTCCATTAAATAAAATTGAAAAAGTTGTTGTTCATCCACTTGTTCTTCTTAGTGTTGTTGATCATTTTAATCGCATGGGTAAAGTAGGAAATTCACAACGTGTTGTTGGAGTATTACTTGGTTCACTTAAAAATAAAATTCTTGATGTTTCAAATAGTTTTGCATGTAAGAATTTTCAATCGATTATTTTTATTGTAATTTTTGTTTTTTTCTTATTCTTTTTCTTAGTACCATTTGATGAAGAAGATAAAGAAAAAGAAGTTTGGTTTCTTGATCATGAATATTTGGAAAATATGTATACTATGTTTAGAAAAGTTAATGGTAAAAAAAGGAAAACAAAGAAAAAACATTTTAAATTTTTATATTGATTAGAATTTCGAAATTTTAGCTCGTGAACGTATTGTTGGATGGTATCATACAGGTCCAAAATTACATCGAAATGATATATCAGTAAATGAATTAATTCGAGAATATCAACCTGATTCAGTTCTTATTATTATTGATGCTAAGCCAAAAGATTTAGGTTTACCGACGGAAGCTTATATTGCGGTTGAAGAAATTCACGATGTAAGAGTTTTTTTCTGAAAAGTTATTGAGATAAAGTATTTTTTTTCCATAGGATGGTAGTCCAGCATCAAAAACATTTGAACATTTACCATCAGAAATTGGTGCAGAAGAAGCTGAAGAAGTTGGTGTTGAACATCTTCTTCGGTATGTTAATATTTTATTTTGAGAAAAATTTAAAACTAAATGTCAATTTTAAAGATGTATCTGAGCAATTCCACGATATTTTATTGTAAAACTTTCTAAAATAGTCATAAATCACGAAGGAAGATTCATAGACACGAATTTTTATTAGATTACTCTACCCATAATAGATCCTATCTAATGAAATAAGACATATTTCAAAATCAGTTTATCATTTAGAAAGAATCCAAACGAGTTATAGAAAGAAATTAGAGATATCCATGGTGAAAGAGATTTTCAAATAATTTCCTGAAAACCATTGTGATAGCGAGCAGAGTTCTTTCGGTGCCGCATATCTATGACACAAATAGAACTTAAAAACATCTATCAATCCTTTTATTGATATTAATTTCGTTATATTGATATAATTCTTCTTGATATTTTAGTGATATTCGTAATGCAACAGTTGGTACATTATCACAACGTATAACAAATCAATTAATGGGTCTTAAAGGTTTAACAAAAAGTTTATATGATATTCGAGCATATCTCGATAAATTATTGGCTAATAAATTACCACTTAATCATCAAATATTATCTCATATTCAAGATATGTTTAATTTATTACCCGATGTCACACAACAAGATTTAATAAAATCAATATATGTTA